ATTATGAACTCTTTCTTAGCTCATAATTTATTTTTTAGAGCTTTTATTTTCGTGGATCAAGATTATTATAATGTTTTTAAAAAAAATTAATATTATTATTATTTGGGGGAATGAAAAATATGAAGAGGCATGTGAGCATGCGACACATTAAGGACAAGTCACGTGCAAACTTCACATGCTAAACATAATTATTACCAAACAATTTAATTTTTTTCTTGTTTGACAATAATTCAAAAATCATGAACACTCCAATCTCAAGAACATCTTCACATGGTTCGTCGATTTTATCAATTTAACGTGCTATACATTGTGCATTAATCTCGTATTAAGAGGTTTATAGTACAATTAATTGTATTTATTTACGTGTTTAATGTAAATAATAGGAGGAGTACAATTAATTAAAGCAATCAAAAAGTTGGTACAACTATAACTTTAATTAATCTAGATAATTATTATAAATTTTTATTTTATATTTATTAACCATCAAAAGAAGAGAGCTCGGTTTGGAATTTATTCATTTTACTACATTTTTATTTTAAAATAAGATTTTTAATTACGAAATAATCTAAGCTTAAGACAAATACATTACACTTTTCACCGTGTACGATGACCATTTTATTGCAGCTAATCGTCGAACTATGTGACAAACACTACGTTTTTGTTGATATAGTGCATGAATATTTTCACTTTATTTCATTACTTCTTAAAATTGATTCTCCTAGCCAATCCTGAGGTATGGTCAAATTACAAAAAATCACTCTTGTTTGGGTAATTGCACTCACTTCCCTTCATTTAAATATTTTTACATAAAATTTATGTAATTCGTTATTTACCGAATCAAATCGTATATTCAGTTTGGTAAACGGTATAAAATGTTGGCGTACCGAAATTACGGTTCAATTTAACATCCCTAAATTTACCTTTTGAGGAATATTTTTGTAGGATAATACATAGTTAAGGGGGTGACTGTAATTATCCAAATAGTAGGGGAATTTTCGTAATTTAATGATAAATAAAGGAGTCACCGTAATTTCCCTTAATTAAGTGTAGATAGTTGACGGTCAAGAATACCAGAAGAAAACAAAAAGAAAATATTGGGCCAAATGAGCAAAGCGTGCAAATAGAATAACGGCGGGGGGCCCACTTTCTCGTGTCTTGTAAGGCAACTCCACGTCAAAGTGGGGCCCTTTTCTAACCGGCTTCATTCTCACGCAACTTATGTGGGACGCATGCTAATATATCCTATTTTCATTTTTTACTTTAGATTATAATATTATAATTTTTTTTTTTAATTTCACTTATTTCAATCCAAGAATTTTATTTAGTTTCGAAAAAAAAAAAAATCGTTCGACTTTCGAATCTTTAAGAAAAAAAATGGGATCGGAGTAGTAAAATTATATACGATATTCTAAATTACGATCGGATTTCAATTTTAGCAAAAAACACGAGACCTTTTTTGTTTCCCTAAATTTGTATGGTGAATGTCGACTTTATTACGTATTATGCATTATTGGTGGATAAACAAACAAAAAAGACTTATATTACCTTTGATTTTGATACGCGTATATATAACATTTAGATATTTCCACAATTTAAATGAGTACCAATGATGAACAATTGGATTGTATCAAACTTTTTTTAGACCTACAATTCCAACCCAAAAGTTTTCACTTTGTTTTATTTAATACCGATAATTCCTAAATATGAAGATACATTATTTATAATAAACGGCATCGAGTGAAATGCGATTAGTATTCTATCATCGTAGATTTGCACTCGTAAAATAGAATTTCATCTAATTTAATTAGACCTAATTGGACTGATCCATGAGATATACTAATTATTTTTCATATTGGGCCACCAACTCAATCATTTATTTAAGATTTAATAGTTCAATCTCATTAGTTAAAGACTACTTGCTCGTCTCATCGTGACAACATATCTAACTAGATCATCACTCGCGTGCAACAAAATACTCTCTCGTTCCTAAGTTAATTACTCAAAGTACGTGACACGAACTTCAAATTTTAATTCACTCGGTAGACTTTAAAAAAACATTTAATTTGGAACAAAAATTGTAATTTTTTTTTATATATATATAGAAGAACTTAGGTACTACAAATAAGTCATGCATTGAATATCTTCTAATTTACATAAATAACCTAAATTGCCCTTTCAGAAGTCTCTAGAACCACTATCCAAATGGACCCCCTAACCAATTTCTCCACTATTCTTGAATTCGTTGGGCGCCCGCCGCAATTGACGCGGCAAGCGTGATTGTCTTCTTTCTTTTTTAAATAATAAATTATTATTCGAATATATATATTTCGGGTAAATTACGGTCACCTTCTGGGGTAAGATCAAATTACATAAAACTCATTTTATTTGGGTAATTACAATTACCCCTCGACTATATATTGTGTTACGAAAAATCACCTTCTTTAATAGTTCAATTTTACACAGTAAGAGTGGACGTGTAAGACAATACATAGTTGATGGGTGTTTGTGTAATTAACCAAACAAGAGGGATTTTTGTGATTTGATCTTACCTCAGACTAGGTGACCGTAATTTGCCCTATATATACATGAATATATTTTTTTTATTCGAATTTTCTTGTCACCAAACATCGAATCCTATATGAACATTTTATACGAGGCCAAAAATTAATCTCTTGCAACCAAGTTTTACTTCCAAGGATTAACAATTTTAATCGTCCATTTGTTCTTAAATAATAGTTGTTTTTCAGCTACACACAAGTATCAAGAATTTCTAGTAAATGTTTCTTGATTTTAGAAGAAACATATTAAAAAAATTAAAATAACTTTGATCATTTAATATTAGCGTTATAAATAAAACGGAAAAAAAAATTACAGTTACTGCAATATCGAAATTCTAAAGTGACAAATAATATATAACAAAATATTTCTAAAGTAACAGTTATTGTAAACATAGTAGAGAATTAACTTTGATTATTATAATTAAGATCTAGGGTTCAAATTTTCGGATATTCGTCTTGTAGTCGTCCCATTGTCATCCTTATGTATCTCTTTATTTTTCTATTTATATTTTATATCACCCACCCCGTTCTACGTGTCGATTAAATCGAATATATTCGTACTTAATTATAGACTATTTAAGTGTTAATTAATATGTTAATGACGGATTAGACAAGACAATTGGAAATTAGATAGGGAGTTGGTAAGGATAAGATTGACAATAGGATGGAATCCTATGTTAGGCCGAGTATGTAAGTACCATGGAGTAGCATTAATAAATTTCAAATTTTAACCGGACTTGATGCGATACGATTCAACGTCTCGTTTTTTCAACTCCTCTCTCGCACTTCTTGATTCCTCGCGTGGGTACTACCTGCATTGTAAAAAGTCGATGCGGCACCGGGATTGGTCCCGACAAAAACTCTCTGATGCTGAAGCCAACTTTGTATGATTGAAGAATTCAAAGAATTCAATAGACTGTTCGGGAGTTATGAATTGCGTCCCTTTGATTGTGAGATTTCCGGATATTTATATGGACACATATATTCTCATGGGCTATGTGCCTATGTCACTTAACATGTGCCGACTTGGGCACAACTGTTTAGATCATTCCAGTTTGGGTCTTCGCCAATCTGGACTCATATTATTTATATTTAGTCGATTTGAATTTAGTTTGTGTGCCTCTATGGACTTGTCAATATGGACCTTTGGCCATGGGCCCATCAGAACTATTATTACTATTTTACTTATTTAATTACGAATTTCTTTTCTAATTTTTGTAATTACAATATACATTATCGACATTTAGCATATATTAATAAAATAATTATGAACTTAAAAGGATTTAACTGAGTGTTTAGTTATATGTATTTATACATAAATTAACCAAGTTCTTCGTTTTATTACGTACCATAACGTCTGTTGATCCGCATTAAATGTGCAGATTGTTCGAGGTTAGGTAATGATTCACGATCGCGGGTCATTAGTTAAGCTATCTGTTAAATGAACGAATTCAACACACAAAATATGATATTCTTATACCAATTTAATTAATTTTATAGAAGAGAGATTTTTTTACTAAATTTGAACAAAATTTGTAACAAATTATCAAGAAATTGAAGTGTGCCACCTAAAGAAAGTTTTGTTGACATATCACACCCACTCAATTTGATGATATTGAGTTGTCAAAAATACTGTAGATAAGACAAAAACGCGGTAAAAAATTTCTTAAGCTTGATAGTAACTGCCTACTACCCGTCAACTAACTCTTCTCCAATGGCAGATCGCCACGTGTCAAAATCCACCCAGATCATCTCATCAGCCAACGGACAATCCACATGTGTCACCGAAACGTTGGTTGTAATTATTTTTATTATTTTAAACTCCATAATTACTTTTATGTTTAAAAATATCTAATTAATTAGCTAATTTTCTACTGACTAATATTTTTTTTTCTAAACAAATTAAATTACATATAAACAAGAACTTAACAGATTTAATATATATGATCAAATTCAATGAACCGAACGTTTCATTAACTACATAATTAATTCGTCAGTACAAATAAAATCCAATATCTTCTAATCGAAATCAACCCGATTCAGGTAAGTCAACGAGCCCTTAGTGAATGAGAAATGTATAATCTCATCATATTCTAATTAACATTGGCTCTTGCATTTTATTTATATTTCTCTCTTCGTGCCAAAATATTTTTAATGGATTGTTGCTTTGCCCATGCATTAAGAAAATTAATTAATATACACATATTAAAAAATAATATGCACCTATATAGTTATGTATATGCTACACTCTGTGAAAGTTACATCGGGTGAATTTTTACCGCTGATATACACCAATGTTGGACTGTATGTTTGTGTGTATATAGATGATAAATATCCATCAGATGTATTTCATCCGGTATAGCATTGTATACACCGTATATATATTACATGCATATATATTTGAAATGCATGAACAAGGATGAGTAAAATTACCTCAAGAATAAAAAATAAAAAAATTGAGTAAAATAAAAGTTGTTTAGAGAGAGAAACTCCTAAAATTAAAAAAACAATTAATCAAGAGAGAGAAAGCTAGTGCATTTCCGGCCTTTAAATACAGAGTGCACCTCCCCCATTTCTTCATAGAGAGAAAAAAAAAAACTAAGTGAGGCCACCACTAAATAAGAGTGTTTCCATTTACAGTTTTCTTCTCCCCCTTCCATCTTTCCAATTAACTCCGATCTGATTTCTAGGGCTCCATATTTTCTTGATTTTGAAATTAATTTTCCAAAAAAAAAAAAAAAAAAGAGGAGAACTCCCATTGACAGCATCTTTGTTCTTCTTTGAAAGCCAGGTGATTCACCTTTTGTTTTTTTTTTCTTTAATTATTAGTGTAAATTAATTTTCTTGAAAAAAATCAAGAGGGTTTATTTTTCCACCCCCTCAAGATTTGATTTTTATTTCATTTTCCAAAAAGGGTTGCTTATTTGAAACCCCTTTTGAATTTGATCCTTTTGTTTAGAATTTTTATTACAATCTTTCTTGAAAATATTCATTAATGGCGGCAGCTATAGATATATATGGTTGTAATAACAATCAAGCTTTCTCCACAGATCCCTTTAGGGAGGAACTTATGCAAGCACTTCAACCTTTTATGAAAAGTGCTTCTCCTTCAGCTTCTGCTTCTGCTTCTTCTGATCTCTTTCTCTCTCCTCTTTCTCCTTCTCTCTCCTCAACTTCTTCTTCTTCCTCCTCCAATCTGTACAACACTGAATTTGGTTCACTCCCACAAAAAGCCCAAATCTTTTCTCCGGGCTTTTCGAATTTCCCCCAAATTGTAGACAATCATCAACCAGCCAATCAAATTAACCTAAATCACCTCACCCCATCACAAATCTTGCAAATCCAAGCCCAATTCCATTTCCAACAACAAGAACTCAATCACAAATACAACCAATTTTCGAGCTTTCTTCGCCCAAAGCCCGTTTCGATGAAGCAAACGGGCCCGGGCCTTACTCCCTCGAAGCCCGTTAAGCTCTACAGGGGAGTGAGGCAGAGGCATTGGGGCAAATGGGTAGCTGAAATTAGACTCCCGAAAAACCGAACCCGCCTTTGGCTCGGAACATTCGATACGTCTGAGGAAGCGGCTTTAGCTTACGACAAAGCAGCTTATAAGCTGAGAGGAGAGTTTGCTAAGCTGAATTTCCCACACCTTAGGCATCAGCTTTTGCAAGAATCTAGTACCTTCAAGCCTTTGCCTTCCTCCGTAGATGCTAAGCTTAACGCGATCTGCGAGAACTTAGCTTCCGCGAATTCGAAGAAACCCGATAAAAAAATCGAATCTTTATCGGAGAAAACGGTTCTTGTTTCCGTTTCCGCGGCGGAGAACGAAGCTGCGATGAAAGTCGAGGCCTCGATTTCGGTGGACGACGCGTCGTCGTCATCGTCCGGAACGGCTTCGCCGCAATCCGATATCACTTGCTTGGATTTCATGACGGACACGTTTTTCGACGATGAGTGTGAAAATTTGTTCTTGCAGAAGTTCCCTTCTGTGGAGATTGATTGGGCTGCTTTATAATTTGTTCCTTTAGATCTTGTCTTTTTTTTTTTTTTTTTTTCTTTTTAAATTTAAATTTTAGTTAAAAGAGTCTTAAGGAGTAATAGAGTCTAGTTAATGGATTCTGCAATGGATTTTTTGACATGTGCAGAATGGCATTTATGTAAATTCACATCTCTTGATCTTGGTCTTGCTTGGTGGTTTTTGTTCCATGCATGAACCTTGGGGAGATTGGCTTATGTATGTATATATTATTGTGTGTTTTATTAATTGCTTCTGATTTTGTTTGGTTAGTTCAATAACTTTTTCGAATCGGTTAGTAATCGTGGAAAAATGAGTTTTAACCAATTGAACAATTACGATTTCATGAAGTTTTGGTAATCTTATCTTAACAACGAGACGAAGAAATAATAAAATTTATATGTAACATTTATCTACTATATTTTATTTTGGTGGGTTATGTTCGTTGAACTATTCTTTCGTATATTAATTAATGTTGAAGGAAGTTCAACCGTAAAGACGAAGAGTCCTCTAGAACACTTATGGCTGCCACAAAGCACATGGTTCATTAGGTAATACCAGTACAAATCTATCCAATGCACATGGAAGAACAAAATAAAATAAAAAACAGTATGCATTTAAAGAAAATATATATTTCAAGAGAAAAAGTGACTCATCAATTTGGGAAGAGCCAACTTCTTTCCTATTGTTCTTGCCTTCTTGGCAATAATATCATTAAGAATTTGAGATTCCTAAGCAATTGTAATAAGAAAAACCAGAAGGGTCCATTTGTTTGGCCAAGATATTATTGGAATAGTTATCTGTATCTATCAGCCATATTGTATAATTTTTTGCGTAAATTACGGCCACCCTTTAAGGTAATATCGAATTACGAAAAAACTCTCTCAAGTTTAGGTAATTACAGTCACATCCTTAATTATATACTATCTTACATATCCACCCTTGTGGTGTCAAGTTTACCCAAAAAGAAGGGTTTCTTCGTAATTTAACCTTATCTTGGGGGCGTCCGTGATTTGCCATATTCTTTTTTCTTTTTTTTAGTCAATGGGAACTCTTTCAAGGTAGTTTTTATTTCAATTTGACTCTACATGCATTTTTTTGAGGGGGAAGTAGATGCATCAATTGCAAGAATTGTTGAAAAAAATTGAGAACATGATCCATGATTTGAGGACATCCCAAAAGGTACTAGTGCAATGTTGTGTAATACAACGTTGATGGGATCAGTTTGGCAAGTTGAGGCCAAATTCCCCATTAATGTATGAGCTGAAAAAGATTTATTAGGCTCACCGATCCAATACACGTCAAAGACAAGGTTTCTTTAGAAGCTCGTCAACCATCCAAACATGCTAGAGACAAATCAATAGGGGTAGGTGACGAGCTGAACGAGAGTTGCTGGAAAAGACGACTCAGAAGATGTGCTCCCTAAATAAATAAGGAAAGCATGTCAATTAAGAAGACTTATAGAACAATCAATGTCATTAGACAAATAAAGAGATCCTAAGTTAGAAAATGTCTAAATAGAAATCCTCTATATAAATGAATGTGAAGACCCGATCAAGGGCACGTTTACAACATCAATAAGAATAATTTTATACTCTTTTCCAAGTTCTCTCTCATGTACATTCTTTCCGTCCATCATTTAACCATCGCCAGCCAAGATTCGACGTCCGATGTGCTTTCCAATGGTCATAAATGAGTAGGGTTTGGAGTGAGGCCTTGAGGGCGTAGATCCTACGCCATCAAATGTCATTCATTTTCCGAAAAGCTTATATCTGATTTGATCCCTCCGATGTCCGAATATTTATATTTTCATGTGCAAATAAATGATATATAGTATATTTGATATATATTTCAAGATATGTAACGTTGTGTGATGTATGGACATAGAACAAAGCTGCCCTTATCTCTTATTATCAAATGAAAGATGAAAGATAAAGCCAATTTTGAAGGCCGCATACTTTATGTTTTTAACCATAAAAGTCCAATCACTTGCAAATTGCAATATTCTTCGAATATGTCTTCTCATCATGCAAAGACAAATTCACACTTCCAAAATTTGGCAAAGGTGAAAGTGACTATATATGAAATGTCCTTTTGGGCCATCGAGAATCGTTCAAATTACAGCCACCGCTGAGATATGCTCAAATTATGGAAAAATCTCTCATGTATGGGTAATTAATTACAATCACCCCTCAATTATGTATTGTTTTACACGTAAATCCACCCTTATTGTATCAAATTTACTTACCGAATCAGGTTTTTTTTTTCCGTAATTTGACTTTACCTCAGTAATTTGCTCATGATTTGAAAAAAAAAATTGTTGAAAATTGAAGCATAAAGGAGTGTGTGTGAATGAATGGAGGAGAAAGTTATTCTTTGGAGATGATGATGAAAATGATGGAAGAAAGGATTATAGCCAACTTGGATCATTCCATCTTTACACGCTTTGATGACGTGGCATATTACCTAGCTACCCCTACTAACAAGAATTTTCTCATTCTTTGTCATAGTTTGCAAGTAAAGAGTTATTCCATTTTCACTTTACATTCTTAATTACCTCCTTTTTTTTTTAATTAAATAATCCAATGTGTTCAAATTAATTTCGAGTGACTAATTCTGCATGCTACATGTTTATGAATATATAGAGTCTTAATGTATACACACTTGCAACGAACTTTCGGGACCAAAACGCCGTCTGAGACGACTTGCACGTCGAGATCGATAGATTATTTTGCATGAAATATAAAAGGAGATTTGCAATTAACTTGTATGTTTGTAACTCAACGTTACAAGACTATCGAAGACCGCGCGGTAATGATTTGTGCGGTTGCAACTATTAAGTTTAATTGGATCGAATGATAGGAGGTGGTAACATTTCGTTTGAGAGTAAATTGCATTGACTACCCCTGTGAAAGTCGCAACTACGCGATTCCCCCTTGTCATAAAATAATTAGCAAATACCCCCCTATGAATTTTAGTCAAAGGCGTTTTCCTCCCTGGTGCACCTTCGTGTTGCTCACTCGCTATGCGTGCGACTGGTAAGGGATTTTTGACATGAAATGACGTAAATATCCTTATATTAAATTGATTAATATATCAATTGTAAATATCTTAAATTGAAGGACAAATTTGCAATAATTAAAACATATATTCTTGCATTAAAAATCTTTATATGTTTTCTTAAAGAAAAAGTCTTTATATTTTTACATTTTATATTAAATAAGAATAATAATAAAATAAAGGGGTCTTAAGATATAGGTCCTAGTGACAAAACTTATTTGAACTAAATGACAAGTTAAACTAAACATTTGCTTCACATCCTTTATAAATTTCATTCCAAAAATGCCCTCCTATACAAAAAATGAAATATGCACAAAGTAATATTTAAATTGCATTTATCATTTTTTATTTTACATTTTACATTTTCATTTTTTTACGTAGTACACTTCTTTTTTTTTCATATTTGTTCACTATTATAAAAAACCTTATTTTTTCTGAATAAATATTGAAAATTATGAAAATATTTTTTTTAATGTTTTTCGACTCTAGTATCCATAGATACCCATAGAAATCCGTAGAAGTCCGTACTCATAGAAATCCATAGTAGTCTGTAGTCATCCATAGTATTTTTAGTTACACACTTTGAAAACCCTAGCCTCTATTTGAACCCTAGCCGCCACCGCACAGAAATTCATAGTAATCTATAGTAACTCATAGTCATCTCCATGCCACTGTCGCTAACACCATAACCACCCCCTCCTTTATTGCCATAACCACCCCCTCCGTCACTGCCATAACCCCCTCCGTCACTGCCATAACCCCCTCCGTTATTGCCATAGCCACCCGCACCATAACCCACTACGACTAATATATTTGGACTCATTTTTTTCCATACACGATGCGCTTCCGCTATGCACTCCATCGTC